CAGAGAAAGAACCAATAAACGATCAGAACAGATTGTTAAATTATAATGTCCTTTTCACCTAAAAAATTTAGTTAAAATCTTGACAAGCGATTGTGATTTTTAAAAGATTAAAAAAAAAATCTTCGGTCTGGGTTTTTTCGCTATAAACATTTATATTTTATGATACCGCAAAATTTATCATTTTAATTTTTTTGTCTTTTTATAATTCACAGACGTGATCATTTAACGGAAATATGTCGTCAACAAAATATCATACAGACGCTAAAATATTTTAAAATTGCCATAACTACACCGAGTAATCTCACGTACAGGAATTTTTTATTGAATTTAAAAACTTGATGACGATAAAAACTTGATTGCGTAATAAAAAAATTTTTTTAAATTACAAGTGTACACTTTTAAAAAGATGGCGTACCTAGTGAAACTATTTAAAATTAAGATTACTTTCCTATAATTTTCAGACCTATTTTTATACGATTCTAAGTGATTATGTTTTAATTAATCATTTATAAAAACAGGGGGAAAAAAGTCGAGTAGCGCCAAAACTTGTGTTTATTGTTTATTTAATAAAGCTTTTATTAAATTAACTTGATATTGCAAAAAGCATTTAAATTGTCATAAAGTAATATGTGAAATGTGTCAATAAATTGATATTTAAATTAAAAAAAAAAAATCAAATAATAGATACTTTAACTAGCTATAATGGTTATATCTCGATAAGGATCTTTCCAATTTATAAAGGAACTATTATTAATAGTGTAGTAAAAAATTATTAATATTATTAATACTATAAACTATAGTATAGTATTAAATACTTTATAGTTAAGTAATATATATATATATATATATATATATATATATATATATATATATATATATATATATATAATATATATATATATATATACATATATATATATGTATATATATATATATATATATATATATATATATATATATATATATATATATATATATATATATATATATATATATATATATATATATATATATATATATATTAAATAACTGAGAACATTTAGAAGTTCATTTGAATTTCTTTATTTTTTATTTGTAATTAATAATATTTAAATAATCAAAATTGTGTAAATGCAGAATTTATAATATTACAAATAAATATTCAATCAAAATATTCATGTTTTAAATTAGAAAAATATAAATATTTATTTGAATATAGTTAAAATTATATTAAATAAAGGATTTTATATAATTTTAGCTATTTTAAAGTTTGATCATTTTTAAATTTATTGTTTACTTGATTTAACGGTCTTCAAGGTATTTTTTCTTCATTTAAAGTCTTTTTTAGCTGTCTTTTTTAATAACAATATTAGAAAAAGTAGAAAAAAGGCAACAAAATAAGTTTTTTTTTCTTTTATGTTTTTAAGGTGCTCCAAGTTGACCAAGAGTCAATAAATAATAGCAAACATTAGATAAAAGTAATGATAATACATTTAAACATTAACAATAACAACATCAGTAATAATCAGTAAAATAACACTCATAGAAATATCACCACTAGCAATAGTAATTATAATAATTATAATATTAAAGATAATAAGATCAAGATGAAAAAAAGTTCAGAATGAGAGGAGGGGGCATCAGACCAAAACTATGAATTTATAGTAGCCTAGCTAAGAAAAAAAGGCAACAAAAAATTAAAAATTAAATGATTTTTATACTGTATTGTATGTACTTACACAATGGTAATAAGTCAATAATAAAAAGTTAAAGCAAAATAAAAAGTAAAAATATAAGCAAAAGTTCATTTATTCCTTAATTTTGATTTTGATTTGTTGCTGTAAACTTTCATGCTTTTACAGGGTGACCACAGCTCCTCTAAAATCTTCTAAAATCTATTTATTTTTAAAAAAATTCTCCTTATAAATCTTTTGTTGTCCTCAAAAAATAAAAATGTGATCAAATCTCCTTTTTTTCAAAATTATTTTAAAAATCTTTTATCCTCTAAAAAGTTGAAATTATGATATATTCTCCTCTTTAACTCCTCTTTTTTTTTCTCAAGTTCACAAGTTTTTTTTTTAATAATTTAAAATAATGTTATTGTATTGATTTGCAGGTTTTAATAATAATCACAGTAATAGTAAGTAACCTTATGTAGTTACATATGAAATCATCCAAAAAAAATATTTTCGACACCCTTATGTCTCAGAATTTGTTCAATTTTACCTCACTTGCAGTCCATATTAAAAAAATAATTACTGCAAAAATTTTAGTTAAAAATACACATGGGTTACAGAGATATCGTCAGTTAAGCACCTTTAGGAGAAAATGATTAGAGAAACAGCATAAAAGAGAAAGTCTTGAGCCTGATGATGATCATGATCATGATGATAATTATGGTGATGATGGCTATGATGGTCATGTTGATCATAATGATGTTTATATATGCATATATATACAAAATATAACATGAATTTTGAATTAAAAAAATATACTTTAGGATGCATAAATGTTTATACAGCCCTGGTCACAAACTCGGCCCTAGCCCCAGCTATATTTTATCAAATGCTGCCCCAGTCAAATATCAACCCCAGTCACTTACTACACAGTAGTTGCATTTTTCATCATTTCTTATTCTTATAACAATACCAAAGAGTTAATTTTCAGTAAAGAAATCAGTTTTCAGTGTTGGTTTGAATGTAGTTATTTTCTGTTAAATCTGCCATATAGAATTTATTAATTTTGTTTAGAAAAGTAGAAATAACACCCAAGTATAAAAGTAAATTTAAAACTTGTGGCTCATTAAAGACAAGTTCAAATGCTCGTTGCAAAGAGATATAAAGGATGAAACAAATTCTTTTTGTTAAGTTTGTCCATAATCCTCCAGGATTGTAAAAATAGAAAAGAGCATGTATAAAACAGCTTGCTAAATGGAAGAAACATGTGGAAAGATATCCGAAAAAATATATAAACAAAATGCTAAAAGGAAGAAACATGTGGAAAGATATCCGAAAAAATATATAAACAAAATGCTAAAAGGAAGAAACATGTGGATATCTGTCTGATAGCATTAAAAAGTAAGCTGTTCTGTTCCATATTTACAGACAGTCAAATAGCTCAAAATTTCACTTGTGAAAAAGAAAAATGCAGTTACATTTTATGTCTTGGTGTTGTTCCTTGTGTTAAAGAATTAACGCTAAATGAGTTTAACAAGGTCCCTTATTACATCACCTAAGATAATTATTACACCACATAAGATGAATCTTATAGCAAAATTTCAAAAACAACTCAAATGGATCTAAATATTCGTTTTTAGAATCACACAGACAATGAAATAAAAATATCGTATTGGAGTTCTGAGTTCTTAGGTAAAGCATCATCTGGTGACATTTGTTCTAAATATAGAAATTGTTTAAGTTTTTTGGGTTGTGATAAAGACCTCCAAGTTTCTTTTGATGGTCCTAATATAAATTTAATGTTTTTAAATCTGATGAACGAAAGCAGATAAGAAGATTTACTTGACCCTTTAATTACAATTGGGTTATGTAGCCATACCACTTGATATTCTTTTCAAATTGGAAAAAAGACTATTGACATTAAGAAATTACTTATTTTTATGTATAAAATATTTTATAAGTCTCCGTCTCGCAGAGCTGATTATGAATGTCTAACAGTTGTTACCTTTTTTAGACTACCCTCTTAAAGACTGAGAACACTGATGGATTGAAAATAGTAATGTTGTTAAATATTCCTGAATCAGTTGACCCAAGATAATCGAAGTTATAAAGATTTGGAAAAGCTTACCAAAATCACCTGTTTTGATTGATTTACTAAAGCTGTGGAAGATGCTATCATTTCATTGAAACTTAGATTTTTTAAAGAAAGTGCAACATGATTAAATGATTAACTTATCTCTTTAAACTGACAATCTAGTCTAATATGGTGCTGTTTCTAACTTAGTCACTAAACAATATGACAACAATCTTTCATAGTTTATGAAGTTGCTGCTTTTTAAAAAAGATGTTTAAAAAAAGGCAAACTCTGTATATAAGCTGCTCTAAGTTAACTTTACTGATAAAGTGTTATTGAGTTCTGTTAATCTTGGCTTTAAACAAAACATCATAAACATTTTGAAAGCAAAAGTCTGGTATTTTACAATACTTGTCTAGTTTATGTACTCTCGAGTCCTTAATACAAGAGAGGGTAGGAATTTTAGTTCAAATCTAATAAACAGAAAGAGGGGGGGGGGGGGGAGGTTATAAAAGAAGGGAGATGGGAATCTTTTTATGTTACAATAAAGGTATTTTTTATAAAAAGTTTCAGTCCAAAGTATTACAGCTCTTAGAAAATGCGCATTATGATAAATAGAATTTAATATGCTGATATAAGTTTTATACTTTAGTGAGAAACAAACCAAAAACTCATTTTTGACAAATCAAAATTTACTAGTTTGGTAATTATTAAAGTTTGTTTACATTGAAAGTTTTTCTTTTTATCAGTGACTGAAAGAATTATTTTCTAATTTTTAGGCAGTTTTTCAATGTTTTTTTTTCTTTTTAATTTTGAGGTATAAAGTTTTGTTGAAAACAAGTAAAAATTAATAAAAGTAGGGGAGGGGGGTCTTATTAAACTATAGGTGGGTGAGAAATTTTTCCAAAAATAATAACCGTCCCCCCTTCCTTTATATTAAGGACTCGAGAGTACACACATTTTACAGAAAAATCTTCTTTTTAAATATATCAACAGTTGCTTGGTCATAAATGTAAAATAATGTATTCTCAGTGAATTAAAGCGGAAGAAAGTATTAAGTAAGTAAGGTAAAGCTTAAGGAACAAACTTATTAATCAAACATTTATAAGTCAATTTTATTATTTCATTTTATAAAGTTTCATGTATAATCTACCCAATATTTTGTATTTATAATTGTGTGTATATATATGTGTATATAAACATTTATTTTAGTTGTGTGTTTTGTTTTTTTTAATTTTATTGTTAATGTTATGTTCATTGTTTTTTAATAAAAAAAGTAAACCAGCTATTGAAATTGTGAATCATTTGAAATGGTGGATTTGCCTCGGTTTACTGGATCACTTAAACCAGCTACATTAGAATGGAATTCACCTATTGTTCAGATAAAATTAAGAGAAGAACTGCAACAGAAACGGAAGCTTGTTAAAGTCACCAATGGATTGACATGGAAAGAGTTAAAATGTGCTCACAATCAAAACAACTCCAAAAAAGTATGAGTTTTGATTAAATTGCTATTGTTTTTTTGAAGTTTAATTGGAAGGAAGATAATCTATCAATGCAATAAATTTGTTATTAATTTGATCCAACTCACATCTGTTTTTGTTGTAGAGTCAATTGCTAAAGGAATTATTTGAATGTGCTAAAGACATGGGTATGTTTTGTTTTTTGCAGCTTCTCATCATTTTAAATTGTTCATATTCATTTAAAAGATTTTCAAGATCTTTTTTGCTATTTCTGTTTTAGTTGGAAGAGATACAACTCAAGAAGCATTAGAAGAATCATCTGCTTTTTTGTTCGAAGCGCTCAAAGATACAACTAGTATTTCATCTTTAGAATCTTTAAAACTTCAGCAAGTTTTCGGACCTTTTCCTGCTACACTTGCAACAAAGGCATTCGAGTGTGTTCAACAGTTATCATATATACTATCAAAGGAGTCTGATGAAAGTAGTGGAACTGATAAATTAAACTCTGATTATTTTGGCCACAATATAAAATTAGACTTTGACTTTTATGATACAAATTTTGAGAATTTATATGAAGAGTATGAAATTGAAAGTAGAACATCTGTTTCCTCTGGTGATTCATTTGTTCAACATTTTCGTGACACACTTTTATTGCATCAAAATGTCGACCTTGAAAAACAGGTGTGTCAAAATAATCTGAGTTCCTCTTGGCTACAGGACCAGTGTGATGTTTATGTTAAAACTAATCCTGGCTCTATTTGTTCCTCTGATTTAGCATCAGCTATATATGATATTTTGGCTACATCAAAGTCAAATGATGAAATACAAAATGATCTGTTCGATTTAGTTGGTTTTGATGCATTTGATTTGATACTTAACCTATTAGAAAAAAGGAAAGAAATTATAGATGCTGGCTCTGTAAAGAAATCTGGTACAAACAATGTAACTGAATTCCAATACATTGACCCAGTACATAAACTTCGTAAGCCTTTGCTTGGTTCTCAAGTAACAATACATGTAAGTTAACCTTGTATTTTTTTAATGTGGTTTAAAGGTTGTTTAGATTTTTTATTATTTTTGTTATATTCATATAAAGTTACTGTTTGAGTATTTTCTTTCCTAATAATTAATGAAATTTTTTTTTCATAGAAATGCCAAAATAGTGAAAACTAATAAATGCTAACTAATAAAATAACAATATTGTTATTTATTAGTATTATTATGTTATGTATACATTAATGTGAGCATTAGTAATTTACTACGATTGAAACCCAACCATATAAGTCACTTCTTCTAGTACCTTCTTCTAATCTGTTTCTCAAAAACCAATGCTCAAGTTCAATATTATCTATTTAAAAAAAATAGATAGCTATAATTTTTAATTACACTTTTTGACAACTTTCAACTTTTGTAATAAAAGCACATCAGTTTATATTAAAAAAATAAAATTTACAAGTATTTTGTAGCAAGCTGAATTTTTTTATTTTGTCACAAACGTCTTCTAATCATATGAATCCCAGACACAAAATAATCAGTTTTGTTTTTTAGATTACTGGTCTAATTTGCAATAGAAGGAAAAGTAAAAAACCCAAAACCAAATTGTGACCAAAATAATGGTCTTGATTGTTTTGTTTCTAAGTTGGCACACCAGTAATGTGTTTAGGCCATTGTGGAAAATTCGAAATCAAAGGAGAATGGTCAGTTTGACTGGCTCACACTGGCATTACAAAATTTGACAATCAATTGTTTTTTTTTTTTTGGATGGTCAAAATTTGTACTTTTTTCTTTGTTTAAATTTTTACCTTTGTAATAGTTTACATTTTTACCTTAGTAATAGTTATTTCTAAAATTTAAATATATACAAAAATAACTTAATGCTTCAAAATTAATGTATTTGTATTTCTTTTAAAACAATAATTTTAAATAAAGTCAATGCATTTTTTTAATGTAAGTGCAAATAATTAAAATTCAAATTACTGTTGGTAATAGTACAAATTATTGGTAAATTTAAAGTTAATTTTAAATTTATCTATAAATCATTCATTTATTGCAATTTGTGGTAAAAACTTTCGAGAAAATAAACAAAAAGATTTAGAGATTTAAAAACAAAGTGACAAAGTTTAAAGAAAAAATGTTCTTAGTTAAGTACAGCAATTATTATATATTATTATATTATTATTAAAATATAATAAATATTTTTATTAAAATAACAATAAGATAAGAACTTCAATCATTTATGAAAAAAAGATTTTTACCACCATTAAAATGAGTGATCTAAAATAAGCGAGGCAAAATAATTAATAGTATTAATGTCATATATTGTATTACTAAATTATAAAACATGAAATTTTATAATATGCATTTTCCAGACACATTGTGCTTTGTAAATTATGTTTGTTTTTTCATAAAATTGAAATTTTATTAGTGTTTTAACTTTATTTGTTTTAAAAAGTTTGTATATTTAATGTTTAAAGTATAAGCTGTTGCTTTCTGCTACCTTTTTTTTTTATCTTTCTTGCATACATGTTCTGATGTGAAGAACTGTCTGTTAAACCGATCCATAAAATTAACAGATTGATGTAGTTCAGTTTAAAAAAAAAAATTATTTAGTTAATTTAAGTAATTATTTAGTTAATTTAAGTAATTATTTACCAAATTGCATTGTTTGGTAGTCCTACCTTTAAATAGTGCTCCAAATTTGTCGGTTGATATTTTAAATAAGTTTGAAGGTTATCAGTTGATAAGATTTATAAAATCTTAAAACTTGAAATGTTGGTTTTTTCCATAAGCTTGAATTATATGGTGTATTTGGTAAAATTTTTGAGATCAAATCATTTCTTTCTAACCACTCTATTAAAGTCATCATCAAAGGCCTTCATTTTCATTACCTTCTGGGGTGCTTAAAGGTTCTATCTTTGGTCCTGTATTGTTTCTTATCTACATTCTTATCTACATAATCTTCCTGACAATCTTACATCTAAAGTGGCTCCTTTTGCTGTTAATTCTATTTTACACTTGTGTCTTGACAAAATGTCTTTGATTACTTAGAACAAGCAGTTGGTCTTGAAACTGATCTCTTTTCTGTAACAGATCTCTTTTCTGTAACAGTTAGGGGCTTGCAGTGACTTGTTAATTTTAACTCCAACAAAACTCAGTTGTTTACTGCAAACAACTATCAAATTATTATTGACATTCATATATTGACGAATGAAAACCCTCTCACTAAATCCTCTTTATGTCTTCTTTGATTATCATTTACTTCACCTGTACTTCATGTGTTGGGAGTTTGGGATCACCTTCAAAGGGATCTTAAACTCCCAACACATGTTGTGTTCATATTAAAGATAATGTTAAAAAAAAAAGTTTGAACCAAGTTTTTTTGATTAAAAATAAATAATGAATGCATACCGAGAAAAACTAATGTTGTTATTTTAGCCGAAGCTCGCCTTCATTTTTTTCAATAACTCAGAGTCTTTAAATTATACGTTGCAATCTACAGACTTTGGATATTCTTTTGAAGCACCTTTAATTCATAAAAGCTTTAGCATTTGATGTCACGGTAGTTTTTATTTAAATAAAAGTGTAATTAAACAAAGCTGCGTTTTTCTACTTTAATTCAAAAAGTACGATGTAGTAATTTTTATGAATACAGCAAAACAACTTTTACAACAAATTTTTGTAAAAATCAAAAATAATAAAAGCTTTTTATTTCATATGAGGAACTTTTTTTTTTACCGATATCTTAATAATTTTTTTGATTTATATATCTTACTTATAATTCTTTTGTTTTTAAATTAAAATAAATATTAAAGCTTTACTTACGAATCTTATAATTTTCATATGAGTGTTTTACATTATTTAGAACATTATGTATACGGTCTCTCGATTTTGTGCAAGAGTGCGCAGTATTATATATTCTGAATCTTACTTATTTTTATTTAAACAATGGGAACATTTTTCTTACTTCTGGTTATTTTTACGCTATGATATTTTTTATTTTCCCGTCAAAAAAAAGTATTTATTAACAATTAATTTCATAAACTGACAGTATTAATTAGAGATATTAGATGAATTGTCAACTTTTTTTACTATAAAAATTTTTGAACACTAATTAACACATTAATTTATGGCAATAATTCAAGATAAATGGTAATTTAAATTGTCAAAATGTCATAATGCTCGTTAAAAAACAAATTATATTTGGTATTTCCCAATTTGTATCGTATTTGGCATTTGTCTCTTCCAATTTTCATTTATTCAAAGAAAAGTTACTAATAAACTTTTCTCTCATCAAAAAAAAGAATGAGTGACGCAAAAAAAAAAAAAAATTCTATACAACTCTTATTCATTTGAAGTTTAATTACGCAAAACTTTTCTTTCTCTTTTGTTCTACTCTTTTATAAAAAGAGCGAGCGATGAAATAAAAACTTTTCTTTCTTAACATAAATTTGTACTTTGAGATAAAATTAAATTAGAAATAAAGCAACAATGAACAAAGCAACTAACAGATTAATTTGATACTATTTTGATATTAATGAAAATAATCAACAATGTTGATTATTTTCATTAATATCAAAGTAGTTGTTGGTAATGTTGTTTATGTTGATTCAACATAAACAACATTACCAACAACAATTATCAAATAAACAACACAAAATCGCATAATTGTAGGGGCTTTTTATTTTTATTCCTTAGTCGTTCTAAATAAATAAGTAAATTTAGTTCAAGTTAATATTTCAATATTTACAGTTGCAATATAATAAAGAAATGTTTAATGTTGAACTTTTTATTTAATTATTTATTTTTTACCTACATTTGTTATAAAAAACTTTCAAAACCCCGTCATTAAAATAATTTGTTTTAAATATATTTCAAACTGATTTTATTCAAACTAATTTTTTTTGCTTGACTTCCCAAACTTCATGCATAGCAAATTGAGACGAAATATTGTCTAACCAAATAAAAATGCTGTTACTAATTTTATAAGGGAAATTAATGTAAAACAATTTTTTATCAGAGTCTTGATTGAGATAATAAATATTCATAATTTATAATCATTAATTATATGGCCCAATAACAATTTATAGCAAGGAACCAGCAATATTTGAGGTTTTTAATATCTTTTTAAATGTTAAAAATAGAAAAAAATAAAAAACAACAAATAATCAAATAAAGTTCGAATAAAAATAAATAAAAATATTTCCAGAGTTTCATTTGTTAAAAGTCTACCGTGACGTCAAATACTAAAACTTTTATGAATAAAACGCACTTCAAAGGAATCGCCAAAGTCTGTAGATTGCGACGTATAATTTAAAGACTCTGAGTTATTGAAAAAAATGGAGAAGACGAGCGTCAGTTTTTCTCGGTATGCTTTCATTAAGGCGAACGTTAGTTTTTCTCGGTATGCATTCATTATTTATTTTTAATCAAAAAAACTTGGTTCAAACCTTTTTTTTTAACATTATCTTTAATATGAACACAACATGCATTGGGAGTTTGGGATCCCTTAAATGGAAAACCATATATGCAATCTATGACAAAGTTGGCATCTGTTAAGTTTGCTTCACTTTATCATGCCATTTCTTTACTCATGATTCTATTCTACCACTAAATATCTCTTATTCGTTCCTGTATGGAATACTATTGTCATATTTGGGCTGGTTCTTTTAATGATGCCCTTTCTCTTTTAGACAAGGTCCAAAAGTGCATTGTAAACTTAAATGGACTTTCTCTATCTGCTAACCATGAGTCTGTTTCCCATTGTTGTAAAGTTGCATCTCTTTCTCTTATCTACAAATAGTATCATGGTCGCTGCTCAAAGGAGCTCATTATTGCTTGACTCATCATTCAGCAAAGTCTTATTCTTTTATTGTATTTGTCCCTTTTCTTCCGGTTGTAGTGTTTTCTTTCGGTTGTAGTGTTTTCTTCCGGTTGTAGTGTTTTCTTTCGGTTGTAGTGTTTTCTTCCGGTTGTAGTGTTTTCTTCCGGTTGTAGTGTTTTCTTCCGGTTGTAGTGTT